TATGCGCTCAGAAATGGTAATAAACTTATCACTACCTTGGCAAATTTACAGCTTTGACTGATTTTAACTGCTATTATTATTATTTTTGTTATTATTATGCTTATCATTTAATTAGTATTTATCTTGTCATGTGGTCTTTGCCAAACTTATTTTTATAATATTTACATCAAAATCAACCTTTTCATTCATCGGTTTCTTTTTCATTAACTCATTTCTCTCAGCTGTTGTAGATTCTTCAAATCCTGTATAATCATTACAGTTTAGTTCTAGACAGTTATCACATCAATGGAACAAATCATTCTTACCGATTTTCGAGTGATTTAAATCTCATGTAAACTTTACTTAAACCATGAACCGATCATTGTTTAACCGCCATTATAAACCTGAAAACACTGGACGGCCGTTTGGTCCTATTATCTAACTTTTCAGCGGTGCATATCCATGGCCCTCCAGTGGTTCTCGGTTTATACTGGTGATCTTCTGTTGACCGGTTCATGAATTGACTGAAAATCAATCCACAGACCTACACTGATTGTATGTAAACTCTTTACAACTCCCATAATTTATCATATGATTTGTCATATATGTTTCCGGACTTTATACAATTACTGTCTCATTCCCTCTTTGTTTTTAAATTCCATTTTCAAATGACATCACACTTGTACTTGCACAGATATATATATATATATATATATATATATATATATATATACAGTTACTATTGATAATCTCTGTTATTCTAATATTTTTCGTCACCAATATTACTTACCTCAGACTATATCATACTTCAATGTGACACTAATGAATAATTTTTTATAAGTAGCTGATAAGAAACCATAAAACATAATGAATTCATATTATTCTACATTATTCTTATGTCATATACTGTTTTCTCAGAAAACACTTAAGAAAATATGACGAAATAAAGCATATACGTAAGCGGAATTTATGATGTTCTGGATTTCAATGTAGGCTTACTGTCATACCAGTTTTTTTCTTCAGTATTTTATTAAAGAAACTTTGTGTCATATCCTGTGACAAAATAGAACATTTCTGATTATATTATGCAACTGATTAAAGTTAAATTATCATACGATCTTTATTATTTACACTATTATTGTTACATCATCTGAAATATGGTTGTATTATTCCTAAAATTGCAAAGATACTCCACAATCTCTTCAGTAAGATTTGGGATGACGAACAAGTACCAACAGATTGGAAAGAAGGACTTCTGACCAAAATACTGAAGAAAGGCGATTTCAGTAAGTGTGATAACTACAGGGGCATCACTCTCCTCTCAATACTAGGAAAAGTCTTCAACAGGGTATTGTTAAACAGAGTGAGGGACTCCGTAGGTGCCCAAATTCGAGATCAACAGGCTGGATTCCGTAGGGATCGACCGTGCACTGACCGAATAGCAACTCTATGGATCATTGTGGAACAATCAATTGAATATAAGTCATCACTCTACATCAACTTCATTGACTACGAGAAGGCATTTGATAGCGTGGACAGGACAACATTATGGAGGCTTCTTAGACACTACGGCGTACCTGAGAAGTTAGTCAATATCATACGGAATTCCTATGATGGATTAAACTGAAAAATCGTCCATGGAGGACAACTCACTGACTCATTCGAGGTAAAGACCAGTGTTAGCAAGGTTGCTTACTCTCAACCTTTCTCTTTCTCCTGATGATCGGGTGCATCATGAAGACGTTAAAATCTGGAGGGAATCACGAGATATAGTGGATAGCTAGGATGCAGCTGGAAGATTTAGACTTCGCAGATGATCTGGCTCTTCTATCACAAACGCAACAACAAATGCAGGAGACGACGACCAGTGTAGCAGCAGCCTAAGCAGCAGTATGTCTCAATATAAACAAAGGGAAAAGCAAAACTCTCCGATACAACACAACATGCACCAATCGAATTACACTTGACCGAGAAGCTTTTGAGGATGTGAAAACCTTTACATATCTGGGCAGCATCATCGATGAACACGGTGGATCTGATGCAGATATGAAGACGCTGATCGGCAAAGCAAGAGCAGCATATCTGCAACTGAAGAACATCTGGAACTCAAAACAGTTGTCAACCAACACCAAGATCAAACACGATCAACGACAAGTTGCTGTGGGAGAGAACAGACCAGATTTCAATGGAGGAAAAAGTCAGGAAGAAGCTCTGGAAGTGGATAGGACACACATTGAGGAAATCACCCAACCACCTCACAAGACAAGCCCTCACATGGAATCCTCAGGGCGAAAGGAGAAGAGGAATACCAAAGAACACATAACGCTGAGAAATGGAGACATACATGAGAAGAATGAACAAAAATTGGATAGAAGGAAGAAGGCGGAAGACAGAGTGGGTTGGAGAATGCTGGTCGGCGGCCTATGCTCGATTAGGAGTAACAGTCGTAAGTAAGTAAACAAGCATGTATTCCTAAAATTATATTATTTTCAATAATTATATTCAATATAAGTAAGTAGATCAGCAACTGTATCAGGTAGAAGATTACATTCATCATAAAAACTAACTATAGACAAATGGTCAATACTTTATCATTGACTTTTATACTTAAAGTTTTGTGAACTATATTTAAAATCTCTGAATATGATTAGCAAATTTTACATCAAAGATGACGTCTTGCTAAGATTCTATGACAGCATTTATGCAAAATGAAACATGTATAAAAATATGTAGTTATTATGTTGTAATATACAAAATATTTGGAAAATATCATATTTTAATCTCTCATAAGAAAACTATTACCGAAACGAAATCCTAAACGGAACCTCTTGTTACTATTTGGGACTTATGAAATTTAAAGTTAAATAGAACCATAGAGGAATTGATCTAGTTTAAATAGTATATCGGAATGAAATAAAAATAGGAACAAAATTTATGTTTAATCAATACCTATTTGATCTGGAACTGTTCAATGAAGAAAAAATAATGTTAGATCCACTGTATTATCCGCAAAATTACTCAAGATACAAATTCACCGTTCAATTTTTCAACGATAAAACAAGTGGTATGATAAGTGTTTTAATTAAGTCACATAATTATAGAGTATGGAACAGTAATTTAGAATTGATTTGTGAACAATAAGGGTAGGTTGGAAAGAACTCAACAAGGAAATATATTAAATAGGAATAATATATTTGTAAAATCTCAGCGAATGAATTTTTTAAATTAAATCCAACGTTTCGCCTGGCAATCTGGTCCAAGCTTTTTCAAGGAATTATAGTGGGAATATAGTTAAATTAAACCAAAAACATCTTTTGAAAATCTCGATTAACGTATCGAGACATAGTAGTTTTTTCTGTATTGAAAGTTATTACTACTTGTTGGAGGTTTGATATTTTACAGTGTATACTGCTAGCTAGAAAGACACTAAAAGACGATCAGGGCAAAATTGTTGTAGAAAGGTGAATATAAAAAAATTATAATTCTAATCAGAATGAGGGTTTGTGCAGATTGTAGTAATCTTTTATTAATTGACTTCATGAGTCGATGTAAGCTAGACCATCATAGAAATCCTAGAAACACCGGAATGCCGTCTTGTCCCAGTGTGGGACTCCTCAGCGGTGGACAACCATGTTCTCACATGGTGGACACGAACCCAGGACCTTCAATCTCGCGCGGGAACGCTTAATCTCTAGACCATTGATCCGTCATCCAGCGGTGTTAATGTCTAACTTTAGTCGGTCCACGTATCTTGTATAACCATTCAACCATTGTCTGAAGTAGGTACCTGTCTCTATCCGATACGGATTGGACTCCACTGGTCACGACTTCTCATCAGAACTCTGGGAAATCCTTCTTGAAGCCAGTCACTAGTGAGCACATGATGATTGTTGTCTTCAATTCTTTGGCAATAAAAGAAGTAATTGTATAGCTAAATAATTTTGAAAAAACGCCCGATCTTCAGATTTATTGTTGAATAACATGTACTTTCATTGGTATATGATCATTTCTCATTTAGTGATTATCTTTTAGATGCATTTTCAAGTCTAACCTATAAGATAATCAGTTGATGTGATTTTTAAAATAAATAATGCTTTTCATTTGAGTGTTGTAATTCAATACTACTTATATAATTCGTATAAAGACTAAATCACTCTTTATAAAATTCATCATTACAAAATGACATAACATGAACATATGTATCATATATATAGTGTGTGCTACTGATATCGACAGATATAAGCAGTATGTAACACCGGTCAGAGGTGGAATGTCTGTTCAAAAGGAGGTTGAGAAGATTGAACTACAGAAAACAGAAAGGAATTTAGAATTAAAAGAATCATGAAGGATGTAAAAGGGGCAATGGATGAAAGATTTGCCAATGTAGTATTTATTATATGGTTTTGATATTTTACCAAAGAACTTTGTAATTCTACTCCAAACAATGAATTGGTTAAACCCCACTAAAACTTCATTTACTACATATAGACTGACTTCGAGAGGTAAATCCAGGAGTTCTAGTGAGAAGCAGTGACCAGTGAAGTTCAAACTACTTCTGTTGTGAGATATCAACTCACTGAAGACAATTGGTGAACGGTTGCTCAACTTCATGGATCAGTTGAAGTTAGACATTAACACCGTTGAATGCCGGCCGACTCAGCTGTCTATCGGTTAAGTGCTCTGAAGCGAGACTGGTAGGTCCTGGGTTCGAATCTCGTGAGGCGGGATCGTGGATGCGCACTGCTGAAGAGCACCACAATAGAAGGAACCGGCCATCCCATGCTTCCAGGTTTTCCATGATGGTCTAGCTTCAATTAACTCACGCTTTCAACTTATATACCCAACAATTTAAAATAGGAATATATGAAACCAAGAAACGCAAAACAAACAAACAACTAGAGCAAATCATAATTCTTTATTTGACATATTTAATAAATTAAATAATGTTACAAAAAATCAGTCCATTATTACAATGGTATTCATTGTCACCATATATTTATTTTGAATGTTTTTTTTTTCTTCAAAAATAAGGTCAAACAAAAAATGGTTCATTTTCAAATTATTCAATGATTACATAATAACCTTATGACAATTTGTTATTCCTTTTTTTGCCTATTTAAACATTAAATTACACACACATATATATTATTATTATTATAACTGATTAAATTTACCCGCTTCAGATAATATAACAATGGAACGAAACACTTGTAATAAAATTAATAAAGTATTTTTGCAAGTGAAAAATACATTTGAATAACTTTTCACATTATAATATACTATTAAAGTTATTCTTAATATAAGAAATGGTAAATCTTGTAGCATTAATGATATACCAATAGCCCATAATTCAGTTTCACAACATAAACATGGTCGTTCATGACATAGCAAGAGACAACCACCAATTAATGGACAATTAACATTGTTAGAATTATCTATAAAATCATTTTGTGATACTGACTTTGGTATACCATCAATGTTTGATGATATTGATGATGATGATGATGGTGATAATGCTAAAGGTGGAACAAGTAACTGTGACGACTGTTGTTGTTGTTGTTGCTGTCTTTGCACATCCGATTCAGGTGTTTTCAATGTGGAACCACATTCAGCATTAATAATAATACAATTGTCATGATCTGGATTTTCTGATTCTCGTTTTTGATTTTTACGTGTTGAATATAATTGTTTTAAATAAGCTAATGTATTCCTTCTTCTTGGTGATTTATTTTTTAAATTTGATGTAACATTATCACTATCATTACTATTGGTATTATTATTATTACTATTAGTGTTATTATTACTATTGTTAACAGTAAATCGACTTTCACCATCACCTAATGATTTTTCATCAATTGAACATTGAAATGAAGATAATTCATTGGATTTAGATAATAGTAAATTTTTATTATTATTATTATAATTTTTTTGTGTTTTAAGTGCTGTTTTATTAAAACAAAATTGTAATAAACTAGCTTGCCATAATGATAAAATTACAGTACGTAGAAAATCGTTTCTACGTACTTCTTGTTCATTGAATGCTTCAAATAATTCTAATATATCTGCTGCTGTACCAATATTAATTAATAACAACTGAGATAATTGATCACGTGTTAATCCTTCTCTAGGCATTAACCAACGTCCAACAATTACAGATAGTAATAATAACTGTTCCAAAATACGTATTCGTTCTTTTAATGAAAAATTATGTAATTGTAATGACTGAAATTATTTGTTGAGAAGAGTAAATTGAAGAAAAACAAAATGAGGTGTGAATAAAGTTATCAACATTTTACAGGGATATTTGTTTTAATTTATAATAAAAAAAATAATAAAATCTTAGTAGTATTCAAATAAGTATCAAAATGAACCTTTGACATTTCACCTTGTTCACCACTTAAAAAAAATGAGTAGTTTTAGACGAATAAACACAACCATAAAACATTTAAGTGAAATCGTATCGATAAATAGATCTTTGAAACATTAGGAATGAACTACAGCTGTGGCCATTCCAGGGTTGTTGCCGGTTCCAAGCCCGGATAAAGGAGAAGAATCGGGTATGAAGACAGCGACCCCATCAGTAAACACACTTTTTAAAAAAACCTAACCAGAATAAGAAATTTAAACCATTTAGACTACGCTCTCCGAGTTGAAGGACCTTAATTCAGAAGAATTATGACAGGTCACGGTGAAAGACAATATTCTGTAGAAGTCATCAGTTCGATGACCCTTTTAACAACCAGAGCAATAATTAATATACGTACATGGAATGTACGGACAATGTGGGAGGTCGGGAGGACTAATCAAATAGATATGGAAATGAGGAGATTGAAGTTGGCGGTAATCAGAATAAGTGAAGCCAATTGGAGTCAAGCTAGGTGGAAAAGATGAATGATGACTATTAATGGTATACAGGATGCGCATTTCGTCGCATTTTGGACTAGTCAAATGGATGTACCTGCAAAACAGAGTTGATGGGAAGACATAAACAAACGATAGAAAATGAATTTAAACTTCACTCCATTGCACAAGTTTGTGACTGATAGCAATCAGTAGCTGAGTAGATGACGTGATGACATTTGAGGGCGAACGGTATTGGATTTGAGTCACAGAGTGGACATGAACACTGGGACGCGAGTTCATCCGGCGGACGAGTCCCAAATAGGATGAAACTCACGTCCTGGATTCCAGTGCTAGCCATCATGCAGTTTTGCTTATAGTGTTTGTAACTTAGGGCACTATCGAGACAATTCCCACAAGATGCATATATGCCGATAAGATACTGCCTTATTGCAGTCGTCAACATCCGTGAAAAGATTCAAACAAACATTTCGAAGTGAATCCAGACAGAAAAGCTTAGATTCGATAGAAATGCTAGTATACTCTTGTCACGAAGAAGAAAATGCTTCGCACACACAAAGAAATTCCCTGATGCTGTCCAAACTAGAACAAATAGCACTTATGGATCAAGGATCATCTAATCATCCTTCAAAACAATTACGGGGGCATTACCATTAATGTCATCTAGTGCTATGCATCCACCAATGATATAAATGATGATAAAAATCGGCTTTATGAGAGGCTGCAATCGATTTAAGCGAAGTGCTCGGGTAAGGACCTGACCATCCTTATTGGAGATCCGAACGCCAAAGTCGGTATGGACATTACCTAATATGAAGATATCATTGAACAGCATGGACTGGGAGGAAGGAATGAAAATGGTGAGGGATTTCCAGACTTATGTGCATTCAACAAAATGGTTATAGGTACTCCTATTTTCCCATAGCTTAATAACATATCATTCTTCAAGATTCGCTTTTATGTAGACTGATATTTGTAAACGACTTGAACATCTCATATTAAACCAAAAATAGCTAATATTTACTTTCTTTCTCAATGAATTATTAATTAATGTTAGTCCATAATAATAATCAACTTTGAAATACACACATTTATCAATAGATGATAACGGATTACTTTGTACGAATATTGATTTAAAAATAATTCCAAACCTGTTATATCCCGTGGAGATTTATGAATGGTAACTTTGAGAACTATTTATGGACCAAAATGATACTTATATTTCCTATTATATAATTGTTAAGTAACTTAAGTAACCATATTCGTTTCCCTTTTATTAAAAGATTCATTTTGATCTATAGACTATTATTATACGATTTACCATTCTTGAGTTATACCCAGTCTAATAATTACTGTTCCGTCTATTCACAGCCACATTCGCCAAAATCTTGTACGAATGTTCTTTTCCATTTTATGGTACGATGTGGTCAGTTTGTTTGATGTATAAACCCAGTATGTTTCAGAATAATGTTTCATAATGCAGAGGCTGTTATTCGTGTTCGGGACGTGACTGGCTGGTATAGGCAGATAGCAGGACTGATAAGTACTCAAGACTGCTCGTACAGTTTTTCGTGTATCATTGCTCTGATCGATAATTCACTCCTCTCTGATTGGCGGGGATCATCACGCCATATATTGAACAGAGCACGTACTCACTCACTCACTCGATACAACAAAACTAATATGGAATAAATCGTTGTCATTAATATTAATACAAAAGTATAAATCTTTTTGCATTTTAACTCACTTGTAATACATCCATTGAAACTTGTAAACCGATAGTTTCATTCGATAGGACCTATGAAAAACAAATACAAAAAATGCATGTAGTACAAATTCAAAATTAATTTAATTGTACATTTAATTAGATTAACGGAGTAAATGACATGTCACCACAATGATGGTAATCCGTTAGTCTTGTACTTGCAATAATACTATATTTTTCTCAATTTTTTTAAAAAAATTTTCTATATTTCGTTTTTCCTCACATTTTACTATTTTCACTTTGATTTTTCAAATATATCTTTCATGCATAGTTTGATTCCAAGACAATAGTAGTATTGCACAGATTGCTAAAAATTGAGGAAACAAATTTGAATAATAAATACTAAAGAAGTTAGGAAGTAAAAACAGACATATAGAATCACACGTTTATCAGCTGAAGAGGATTTGTGGAGATTTTTGAGTTTCATAGTTTCCACCGCTAACTTATCCTGGTTAGAACTCACTAGTGAATAACCTAGATAGATAGTGATCAGAGTTCTAGTCAGAACCTATTACTAGTTGTGGTTAACAATTTCGAGTATAAGGATTAGATGTCGAGGGAGGTCATGGAGACATACTGCTGAAGAACCCCGTAGTAGGATGAACCAGCTATCTAGTGCTTCCTGATTTCCAATGATCGTCTAGCCTAATCCAAGTTATGAGTTAAGCTATGAAATGTACATGCCTTTCGTGATAATGATTTTAGAAATAAAAAGATATTCTGGGTTTCTGAAAACTAGAGGTCACTCACTATTCAGTTAAGGATCGAAACCAGGACCTCGCGGTATCACAGTGACAGTCTAACCACCGAACAACCATATGAAATTCAGTGACTCTTATTTTCAACTTCAGTTATTTCGTAACAATAACCGAATCAAAGTCTTTTAACATTTATTGTTCAAAAGAATATTTTATTGTTAAGTGATATAAAGTAGTGATTACAAACTTATTAATATATCAGTAAAATATTGTCACGTAGAATAAACGAATTCAGAATGTTAGTTTATAACCAGTTAAAGTGGCGATTAATAAAATTGATGTTACGAAAGAGAAGAAGCTGATTGTCGAGATTGATTTAATTTCTTGTTTCTTTCTTGTTGGGTTTTGGTTAGTAAGACCTTCGTCTTTACAAAATATATATTGATCATAATTGTAGTTTTTCATGTTATTTATGGATCATTTAAATGTTTTTTTTTCTGTACAACAATGATAAACATCATGTTAATAATAATATTATTTAAATATACAGACGTACAAACCATATGGCTTACTTTGACTATTTCACCCGATAAACTTTATTCAGATAAAGCAGACAGAACTAATACAACTCGGTTGATTAGATAACATAAAACTATACAATGTAATTAAACATATTCGAAAGGAGTTTCTATCTGAATAAATACAAATTAAGATAAGTTAGTCTAACTTACTTTTTACACTCAACTAAAAAGGCTTTATTTTATTTGCTTCTAGGATGTTTAAGATATTTTACTTGGTGTGATCAAGATATTATTAAAATGTTGGTTTAGATTAAATACATTTATGGAGTACATCAAGGATCGATCACCAATGAAGAAATCAGGGTGATAGTCTGCAGAGATCTAGTGGGTAGCTATTACCAGTTGAGTCTTGCCAAATTGGGTGTGACCCAGTTATTCACCGAAAGGATTGTAAGATGGTCAGATATCGCGAATTAATTAGACACTGGTTCTTAAATCACAAGATGCTGGATCTGTGGTCTAAAGGGTAAGCGCCCACTTTTAGATCTGAAGGTACACTATTCGATCTCAGGTGGCCTTGCGGACAAGCACTGTTGAGAAGTTCAATAATAAAATGAGCTGGCTGTCTAGTGTTCCTTGATTTTCAGTAGTTTTTCAACCACGATTAGTCTATGATTTAAATCATGAATGTCTAGCAATCTCCACAAACCCTTGGAACAATAGATATATTTGACCATTTAAATCACATTCTGGTTAAATCAAGTATATAATAATATCATAAAAGGTATAGACTACAGTAAAGAGTGGTGAATGTTATCTATTTTCCTGTAAAAATCAAAATTTCTAAACTACTTCTGTAACAACTAACTAAAGTAGTACGAGGATATTGATCGCTACTTGACAGCGATTTGTTAATGAACGAGCTATTTATAAAATTTGGAAGTTATCAGTTTGTTTTATACTTTATGCTCCAGCACAGAATAATGAACCGATCGATTTGTTTTGAATACAATAGATAAACAGAGGCATGTAATTCCTTGACCAAATTCAATGTCTAAATGTATTTTCAAAGTTCAGGATTTTCTTAGAATACACGCAAATTAAATTATCAATTTTAAGACTGATGAACAAATAAATCTTAGTTAATGTATGATTGTCAGTTCTGTTGTAATTATGTACTAATAAGTAGCAATATAGAGTTAGAAAAATCAGGGTAAGTAAGATAACTCAGTCAAATGTAGTAAACTGTTAGTTTTACAATACAAACATCATAAGGAAATTGACCAAAATCACTTCTATCTGTCACTCAGAACGAAAATATCTTCATATATTAAAAAATAAAGACAATAAGTGTGTTATAATTGTTTTGCTCATAAACGACCCAGCTACTCCTATTGCTTAGTATTCTTATACAATGACACTCGACAAGACCACAAAAACCGGAACACGATGAACATGATTGAAATTGCATTCAAAATAACAAGGGTAGATGAACAGCAATCGATCATTAGAATTCACTGTGGAGCATCAACTCCATCAAGACTAAAGGTAAGCTTCAATAATCAGTTTCGAATATTATGAAACTTAGGTCTAGGGTTTTCTATCGACTAATTATAATCACCCAATATTTACAAAAGTGATATTCACTTTTGTTATAAAAGGCATCTGATAAAAGTAACCCATACTATTAAGGAAGTAATTGATACATAACATACAGTGAGTAACAATTAATCTCACCGTTTTAACATAATTAATAAAATTTGTGAATTTAGCCATATCAACTAATCAGTTAACTGAAGAACCGACAAAATATGAGTGAATTATTTTGTCTAATGGGTTTACAATAGAAATTAGATGAACATATACTACTTACACACTAACTAATCATAGTTGTAAGATATTGATTACATTTTAAGTGTTCCAGTTTACACTGTAAATAATCAATATGACTAGATTAGAGTAAGCGATGTAATGATCTCCTAATTAACACTAGTCATTTACATTCAAAATATAACTTAAGTTTTTAAAAATCATAACGTTTTAAAGCAATTAATCCCTTTGATAAATTTCGATAGTGTAATAAAAAGACGAAGATTATCAGAACTATGTGATGATATATTAGCGCAATACATTTCGAACAATCTGACCACACGCAATATACTTGTTAAGAACATTCATATATAAAAATAAAAAATCAACTAGACTGGAAATAGGGGTAAGAATAGACAAGGATAATAATGATAAATAATGTGAAAACAATTTGACACCTAATCACTCCGGATAATAAGCTAATATTACCAGGGTAGGTTAAAGGTGAGAACAAACTGTGTTTGAATACACAAAGAGGGTTTGAATTTCCGTATTGCTAAGGCTTCAATAAAACTTAGTATACGCCCTTTCACAGTTTTATACAACACTACAAATGCCGAGTTAAGATCAATCTTATGACCTGTTTCGATTATACATTTAGCAATAGAGGATGATGGATATTTATCCTTTACTCTTATTGGGTCATTTGATTCTATTTATTTTTGCAACCATTATTTTTATATATAAATGTTCTTAACAAGTATATTGCGTGTGATCAGATTGTTCGAAATGTATTGCGCTAATATATCATCACATAGCTCTGATAATCTTCATCTTCTTATTACATAGCATTTTAATTATTCATATCTTTTAGTTCATTAAATAAGTGACGGACAATGAGGTAGGGATGATAAAGAAATAGATTCATTTATTTTATCCTTGTTTAAATCTATTTATTCTTTTTTAATAATTAATTGATATATTGATTTAAATATGTTGGCATCATTGGTATTGTGTGTAGTAAATAATCGGATCATATTGATAATGAATAAACTGTCACGAGAAGCAAAATTGATCATTAAAATGATCATAAACTTTGGATATAGGCGAATTCATATTAAAAAAGATTTACAATAACTTATAATATGTTGTTTGAATAACGATTGAGAGTATACTACTGATGTCGATAGATATAAGTAGTATGTATCATCAATATAAAGTGAAATACATGACAACAGAAGGTTGAAAAGATCGAAGAAAAGAGAACGAGAATACAGAGCGATTGGTGTGAAAACGAAGGAACAACAAAGTCTGATACGATTGATTGACATTTTGCAAATGAAATATTTACTGCATGGTTCTCAGATTTTACTAAGATATTTTGTAATTTTGTATTCTAACACATTCAGTTGTCCCCACTTGTGTTCTCGTTCACTACACAACTAGCAATTAGTATTCTTAGATTATTTAAAAAAAGCTAGAACAATACAAAAAGGATTTCATATTTTATTAATTATTCCTGTTCAGTTTTTGACGTATAATTCACATATGTCTATAGGTTATTTTGGAATAAATTTCGACTGAATAAAAATGCAATTATAATTCATCTGTGATGTGGTTTAGTTAATTGAAGTACCTTAATAAATAGTAAAGTTGATTTTAACGTATTCCTTAAATCACGAGATAATTTAGCTAGATGGATATCAGAAATCAAAGAGCAGAGGAAATCTGTTTGACCTTTGTTTAGAACTCTTAAGTATTCAGCACTCAAGAGGACACTGAGAATTGCTGATTTTGCGTTTAACAATAAATATGAGATCGAATGGACCAGTTTTCCAAATTTACCTCTTTACTTATTCAATGTTAAATAAGTCCTTTGCGATATTCTACACAACTAATCTTTGTATTGTTTCCTTTCGAAATAGATTAATATTAAATGTATTATATGACATAAGCAGAGATGGATAGTGGCTAACAGTGAAATTCGGGGTACATTTTTCCAGATTCCATCCGGCGAAGGGAGAAGTCAGAAAGAAGTGATGGAAGTGGATAGGACTCACATTGAGGAAAGCACCTAACTGCGTCGCAAGGCAAGCCCTCACATGGAATCCTGAAGGTCAAAGGAGAAGAAGATCAAGGAACACATTACGCTGAGAAATGGAGATCGATATGAGAAGAATGAACAAAAACTGAATAGAACGATAAAGGAATGCCCAGGACAGAGTGGGTTGGAGAATGCTGGTCGGCTGCCTATGCTCGATTGGGAGTAACAGACGCAAGTAAGTAAGTAAGTCTACTTATGCTAATAGTAAATATTTGAATGATCTACATCAAGTATTTATATTCGTAATGATCTAGTTTGGTGATCAGCAACTGAAAACATGCATTTACTTTATTTGTATTATCTAATGTAGTTGAAGTATCGATTATGATTTTGTCAACTTCGTTTGTATTCTATGGAAAGAATAATATTAATGCTTGTCATAAAGTCATAATTATCTTTACCCAAAAAACAAACAAAAAAAGCAAAAAACAAAAAAAACATTTACGTTATGGGTAATTGGATTAATTACATATTTACTAATTAAAAAAATATGGACATTCTGTAAAAACTTTTATTTTATTTTTCATGTTTTATACTACTGATATTAGAACAAATTTTCTAACCATTAATTTTTCATAATGACTTATTTACTCTATGAACTAAAATGTACACAAGTTTTGACTAGTTTTTTTCTATTACAGGAAGTAATCTATCAAATCAAAAATATTTAATGTATTCAGATAGATTATTTGTAGATCTATTATTATATAGTTGAAATCATGAGTCAATTGAAGCTAGACCATCATAGAAAACCTGGGAGCACGGGATGGCCGTTTCTTCCTATTGTGGTGCTCTTCAGCAGTGCGCATCCACGATCCCGCCTCACGAGATTCGAACCCAGGACATATCAGTCTCGCGCGTGAGCACTTAACCGATAAACTATTATCATCAATTAATAATACTTATGTAAATGACTAGGCAATAATCTGTAAACTGCTTCTCATTACATGACATACCAATAAACTAGTGTCATGAGTTTAGATACTAAATTCATGATATGGGTTTATATAAGCTGAATATATCTTTCATATTAAACGAAGATAGCTTATGGATGAGTTATTTAAATGTATCAAGACTTTGAAGATAAGCTGTTGATTTCCGCTAACTATTATAACGGTGATTTCTATCAATAAACAGTTTAACACTAATATTCAATATTGCTAATTGGATGAAGAAGATTAAAAATCAATGGAGGACATCTTTACATGATTTTATTTTGGTATTAACTATAGGTACTAAAAAAACTATCAGTGTCATATCACTCAATTATTAATATAAAGTGTTTATTTCCTCAAAGAAGACAAGTTAGTTTTAGAAAGCATTGGAAAGATGACTGATTCATAAAAGAAAGTCATATAACAAGCTGAGGTGTTTGCGAATCTCTGAAGAATTCGAAGGGCAGCTGAGTACAGGGGTACATGATCACTGCTTTTGGAAGTTTACACAAGTAGGATAATAATACTCACTTGACGTCTGTGATTTATTTTATTTACAAAATATTTTATTTAACTTTGAAACATTCGATTTTGAATAGAAGCGAACAAGCAACGATAGTAGCTAATGACATGGACTACAGTTATACCAAAATACTAACTTTTATCTATTTTCCTTGTGATATTTTTCAAAAGACGATGAGTGGTTACAAGTGATGATCGAATTTGAAGCTTGAAAACATACCAATAAACTGAGATAAACTATTTCAAGTGTAATTCACATTTATATAGCCTAACAATCAACTGAAGTTATCTATGATAAACATAACTTTCCATATTTCTAATTATAAATAATTCCCTCCTTAATTATACTAAGAACTTAACGTTAAATAAATATAACTGCGCAGCTCTCATTGTCTTTTGGGAAAACAATATCAATGCTTTGTTTACCTGAACTTCAGAGATTAAACTATCAAACATAGATGGCAGAATACAGATAAAAGTTACTATCTAAACAATAAATCTTCACCATTATTTCTATACTTTTATGGGACTTATTTCAAATAAATAGAATGTATTGTATTGATAGAAAAAAAGGAAGCTCAAAAAACAACCGATCTCCGCCTCCTTGAAATAGAAATGTGTCTAAGGCTGAAATTTATAGACTTTGTTGTGAATGTCCGTAAATTTTAACCGATAAGCAATAATTTTTTTTTCAATCACTACTATATTTTTTTTTATAATAGTTGACTTGTGACTGAATATATCAAGCATATTTTTCTATCCGAAGAATAGTTGCATTCAAACAAAAGTTTTAAAAAAGTTATAAGGCTTTACATTCGGTTATTTACTATATTTGGTTCGGTGAAAAGTAAAGAAAATGACTGGAAAACAGTTTTATTGGTCTAAATGAAGTAATAATGCTTTTTTGGACAACCTATTCTTTAGGTCTAACTAATCAATATTTAAGCACAAACTGTTTTGATCATTATTCGGATTTGACTTTTTTCGTTTCCATGAAATCGTTAGAAAAGAAATGAAATACATAGATATATAGGAAATGGTTGAAAATGAAAAGGCACTTCAGTTTTATATTACTGAAATCCTATTAGTAAGTAATTATTTCATTACAGTTGTGTAAGTTGCTTTTGATTAGAAAAATACATTTTATGTATTAGAATATTTCACAGTTATTTCACATCAAGAATGTTTTTGTTTTCGGTTGTCCTTAAATACTATATTTTATGAAGAGAGTATACTGTTTAGGTTCTATCTCTTCAAAATCAATTGTCCAAATAGGTGTGAAATGATTGAATGGTGACTGTTCAAGTAAACCAAGTTATTGATATTGTTGTATCCCCTGGAGATTTATGAATGGTAACTTTGACAACTATTTATAGACCAATATGATATGTATATTTCCTATTGTATAATTGTTAAGTAACTTCACTATTCATATTTCGGTCCCTCTTACTATAAGCTTAATTTTGACCCATAGACTATTATTATACGATTTACCATTCTTGAGTTATACCCAGTCTATTAATTAATGTTCCCCCTATTCACAGCCACATTCGCCCAAATCTTGTACAAATGTTCTTTTCCATTTTATGGTACGATGTGGTCAGTTTGTTTGATATATAAACCCAGTATGTTTCAGAATAATGTTTCATAATGCAGAGGCTGTTATTCGTGTTCGGGACGTGACTGGCTGGTATAGGCAGATAGCAGGACTGATAAGTACTCAAGAATTCTCATACGGCTTTTGTGTATCTTTGGACCGATCGGTAAAATCCCTCCTCTCTAATTGGACGGTCTTATCACTTCATATATTAGTAGGACACACGATCAATCGATATAACAGATATAAATTTCCTTTAGTGAAGACATGTCTAAAGACATGACAACGTGCCGGCAAAAAGAGAGTATTATCTTCCAACAAATTAAAGCGAAGCACAAAGGAAGACTCAATTTCTCCATCTTTCAAATGACGAGTCCCCAAAAAGATCACATGAACATATTGGATTCTTATGCTTTCATCAATGCATTTATTTCATTCTATGTGTAAAAAAATGTCCAACATTAAGGTATTCGTCATTGCGTACAAATACACCAATAAAAAGTTGTCATACTTCAGTCTTAAATACCAACAGCAAGGTATTTCAAACATTTACAAATGATTACCTCATGAATAAATGTATTTCGAGTCATTCTTCTTGTTCTCTGAGGCTCTGTTGTTGTCAAATAAGCTGAATTCATGAATTCCTCAATTTCTGTACCCATAATCATCATACTTTCCTAAATTAAAAAAACAACAAGAGAATTGTACAATTTACAAATTTATAGTAATAATTACATTATAATAGGATCCATAATATTATCATTGTTTACATTAAATTACAAAACAATTGTGAATCTGAACTTATTTTAACCCAACACAAAATTGCGATGGTAAATAGGTACTACATGATTATTAGTGACTGGCTTACAAATAAATTTGCATAACTTCTGATTTATGGAGAAAATCAAGTTTATGGTATAACAGTTGTATAATAACTGTAATCAATTGTCTGATTTGAATGATCTTTTTACTAGATTTAGTTTGCATATATTATTTCCACTTTTCTTGTTGTACACTACTAGGGAGATCGAATCTACATTGAAACAAGTGACAATCGCTTCTGGTCTCATCATTTCTTCATGAACTAATTTGATCACTTAGCGTCTACATATTAATAGTCAGATAAATCTATATGGGTAGAATGTGACCGTTAGAATTTTCAATACAAATGTCAAGACAGTTCTTCTGTATGGGGCGGAGACATGGAGAACTACCAAAGCCATTATCCAGAAGATACAAGTGTTTATTAACAGTTGTCTAAGCAAGATAATTCGGGTCCGATGGCCAGACACTATCAGCAACAAGTTACTGTGGGAGACAACAAATCAGATTGCAGCGGAGGAAGAAATCAGCAGGAAGCGTTGGAAGTGGATTGTGCACACTTTGAGGAAATCACCTAATTGTGTCACAATACAAGCCCTCACATGGAATCCTGAAGGTCAAAGGAGAAGAGGAAGACCAAAGAACACATTACGCTGAGAAATAGAGACAGACATGAGAAGAATGAACAAGAACTGGAGATAACTAGAAAGGAAGGCCCAGGACAGAGTGGGTTGGAGAATGCTGGTCGGCGGCCTATGATCCATTGGGAGTAACAGGCGAAAGTAAGTAAGTAAGTAATTGATATATTTTTATTACGCTTTCACTAGTTAAATGTAAAGTAGTATGGTGGATACACAATTTCGGCACTTAGTTATTTAAGCACATAAATATTGGTACAAAGGGGAACAAGATATATATACGCCACACAAATCTTATTTCATTTGTGTGGGTTCTATGAAACTGCTCGGGTGCCGAAATCGAAGCAGGTGGTTTTCTTAAGGGGCCATACCCGGAGCCTTTGACCTAAAGGTCTAATCAACAAGGCAGTGAAGCATCGTAAAGATATGCAGTCCTATGGTAGCCGGTGACCAACGATTGATTCATACGCCATTTGTTCCCTCAGGATACTGGAGCCAATATGTACCACTGGTTTGGAATCAGGGTTTCCCAACTCCCCTAAGTGCACTCACCGTGTCCATCAAGCCGGTTAAAGTCCCGGACATTCGCTTTTCGCCTCCTCAATTTCGTAAACAACAGTAATGCCACGAAAATGCTGCGAGTAGGAATTCCCTGTTAGAGGCTGTATACACGTGAGAGCATTTCAAGAGGTAGGGTGGTCTCTCCCCTCTCTCGGTCGTACCAGAGCATTTAGGGGCAATTTCGGCACATGTTGAAAGAAACCAAAAGATTATTTTTCTATCTTCACTGAAATACTGACTAATATAATATTCATTCAATATAAGAAAATTATGAAATTCATGAAATGAATTCACTTAGTATCGTTTGTTTGTATCTTGCCATTGACGCTTAGGACTGCAAGTGTCTGCTTTTTTCTTTATCTATTCGTTATAGCTTTCTCTCTCTCCCTCACTCCCAATATATATATATATATATATATATATATACATTAATTAACTTTGACCTGTTTTTCTTTGTTCTTTCAAATGTAATTATTTAACTCTATCTTAACGTACTTTTAACCTTTACAATTAATACATGATAAATTGTTTTTCTATATTTCATCATGTCAACAAATGTTTTTTTTAATTTTTTTTTTTAGTTTGAAAATATCCTGCAGTTTATGATAAGTTCAACAAAATAAATCTGTGATATAATATCTATATTTAAAATAGAAGTTAATTAGTTAACTTGTTTCACATATAGTAGTATATTTAGTAAATATTATTTTCAAAATAAATGAATGTTAAATTCACTTAGTATTGTTTGTTTGAATCTATCTTCCCATTGATGTTTAGGACTGCGACTGGTCAGTCTCTAATTGGCATATGTGCATACTGTGCGTAAAGCCTCGATGTAGCCATAATTCACAAGCATTGTAAGCAAAGATGGATATTGGCTCGCAGTGGAATCCAGTTTGACGCGCGTTTCGTCCTATTTGGACCTCGTCAGCTGGATGTACCTGAATCTCAGAGTTGATGTTCACTCTGGAACTCCAACCCAGTTGCAGTCCTAAACATCAATGGGAATATTTAAACAAACAATACTAAGTGAATTTAAACTTCACCCCATTGCATAAGCAAGTGGCTATCAGGACTCAATAGCTGAGTGGATAACGCGATGGCGTTTGAAGCGAAAGGTACTGGGTTTGAGTCACAAAGTGAACATGAATTCTATTATGCCGGTACGTCTAGCTGACAAGTCCCCCATAGGATGAAACGTGCATCCTGTATTCCACTGCTAGCCACTATCCATCTTTGCTTTAAATGAATGTTACTGATAGTAATCAATCTTCTTATTAAGATCTTTATGTTGAAAAGGAAACGTATATATGAATCAACTGCTCAAAACAACTGTTCGCTGTTTTTCTGCATCTCCTAAATGTTCAATAGCATAATTTTTTGTTTGTTTTTGTCTTCATTTCCAATTCATAAACACGATTATTTAAAACACAGCGGTTAGCTGAATTTATATATATATATATATATATATATATATTCATCAACGGAACAGCTGGTGAAATCAAGTTTCAATGAGAAACGTATTAAAATTAGATTCCGTGTGAACTTATTAATGTGGGCTAATGAAGTGTTCTAAAGCTTTCCGAAATAGCTGTCTAAAATAAACATCAAATTGAACAATTTCCATAAATTACCATTTGGTGAGACCACAATTTATCGATGACCTTTAAGTGACGCCAAACTGAACATTAGAGTGTCCACCTAATAGCTATGATCGAATGAGGGTTATAAACCAGTGTGAAGAATTAGAACTATGATTTAGAGTTGATAGTTAAGGATGGAAACTAGATTTAGGGTTTTCATCACGAACTGACATCAGTTATAATGCCAAAACTCTATTTAAGGAAATGGATGAGTGAATTTCGCGCCGAAATCCGAGACCTGTTATTTTATACCTGATTGGTTCGGCCATAAATTATAGTCTCGTCCATTACTCCAATAATATCATTTACATAAACACATGTATTTCGTGACTAACTGAATTTTTTAGGTGAAACATTAGTGAAACACTATCTCAAATACTTATTTTCTGTTAAAATTATATGAAGTGAAAGATTTTCTTCGCATGATTAGATTAACAAGTAGTTTAATACATCTAAATTGATCCGTGTTATTCTAAATGCCTAGGACTTGATCTACTGCCTGAAACCATCATCATATTTTCTAACACTTACCATCTACCTCAGGTTAGCAAGCTATTCAGTATCACCACACGAAAAGTGTTGTGAAAAATTGTGTACACTCATCTATGCTAATTTACTGAGTTTCATCATCTTATTTAAACAACCTAATATTCCTAAAAGATTTGTGTAGATCTCATCACCATCAATAAACAAAACAAAAGAAAATCTAATATTGGCACATACATTTTCACGTGATATTATTGATGGTACTTTATTTATCCATGCTGGAACTGTAATGATTGGAGTATGATTTTTAGTTGCCATCAACTCAAATAAAGCAGATGCATTATTCACTTGATCCATATGATGTAACTCAATAATCCATATAGGTGGACAAGCACAAATGAGATAAGTGAAATTGCACAGTGAAAACCTATTATAAAGAAAAAAGGGGAAGAATATGTTAGTCGATAGAAACATTAATAGATAGATAGATATATGCATAATCTCAAACAAATTTACTGAGTTTAACACGACATTATTCAGTATACTGTATATAATTCGAAAAATGATGACTTGTTGGTTTGCGTACTCGACATTCAATCATTTGGATGCCAGTTTGAGTCTCACTGACCTTATTTAGTTTGATCAGTATCAGAAGTCCTCAGGAAAAAATTGTTAATGTAAGCAGATTTGCCTGACTCGTACTTAACTAATAATATAAGGATCTACGAACTTGTTACAAATAAAACTACTAACAACAAAATAGTGGACAGTCAGCCGGACACATAATTTTATAACAAATTTAAATATGTAAAAACACACAGGTTCTTTGAACAGCATTGTCTACCTGGTAATATACATTAAATAATTGAATTAATCACAGAAAAATGAATAATTAGTTCACAAAGTCACAGAACTTGAAGACTTATCTACTTGGGTGGAAAAAACTTTGCTTACTTCGATGGGTATATCAAGACCATAACCGTGGGATGTTCTGAACACGATGTCCTACAACACTACTACGCATAAAGAACAATCTTTAAAATCACCCACTATCAGCCAACTACAATCAGATTACAAAGGATATCTAGTGTCCTGTCAAGTGAAATGGTTGGGGTGTCTTAATTAAGACAATCAGGACACAACAAAAATTTGATATAATAGCCTGAAATTTGTACTTGTTAATTGCAATTATGTTGTTGAAAGTGCTCCAAAATTATTTATAAAGTGCAGAAGCATGATACAAATTATGTATTATGTTCCGATTGTTTCAATGTCCTCCAGCCTTTATATTAAAGATAGACATAACCCTTACTTGAATTTTTCCTGGTAAACAATGATACAACTATTCCAAAAACCTTTTTCCCTAGGTATCAATGTTATTTGTGAAGGAAGCAGGGATCAATAAACACATATTACGATAAAGCGAAAGGTGATAGATTCTGTCAAAACGTATAGGGTTTATGAGAATCTCTCTCGGAATAAAGAAAGGTCATACAACAGAATAATTTATTTGACTAAATGTGATTTCTTCACGTTATTCATTTAAAAAAAAGATCTTATCAGATGTCTTTCAGCGTATTTCACATTATTTTTCCAAATGAAGCTACATAACTTTAATGAAGTCATGTTTTAAGTTTGTATTAGGGTAGATATTTTACCTAAACAGATTTTCAACGACCTATATTAAAGTCAGTATAACTTTGGGAAGGTACTATACAGATTGCGTAGCGCCTGATACGACAGTTAGCTTCTTGATATTGACCAATCTTAATCAAAGAAAATAACAAAATAAACTCCAGTTAATGCATATTTAACCGCTAAAACGTCCTTGGTTTGCTACATAAGTTGAAAGTTTCATGCTTGAATTCATGTGTGATCAAAAGTGTAAGCTGTTGATGAGCCCTAAATCATTGCGAAACTGTTGTTGAGTAAGATTTCTGACTTTCTATTATTCTTAAGCTAGTGTAAAACCTTAGTTCAAAATATGAAAAAAATCTCTGGATAATTTCTTAATTAAATTTAAATGGACATTAGTCTGAATCATTGTGACTTAAACATCACTTTTGTATAATTACCTAACTTACTTATGTGTCATAATGAAATCAAGTTAGCAAACTAAATTTATTTATAAAACAATTGAACAGAAGATTATCATAATAAAGTCTCTTGTTAAAATACTGTAGTGAACAAAACACCTCAACTACAGACCCGCAGCGGCATCCACAGAATGGCATCCTTCCCCCTTCTGGTTGGCAGCGAGACCAAATGCAGTGAACAAAATACGGATGAGGACAATCGAATGTACTTAAGTACAAACTTACAGACTATCTCACTAAATTCTGATAACCATACAGTAAACAGTCAATTTGCAAAATAACAATCAATTATCTCAATCTTAACTGTTCGTTCTGCAAATATCAGTCCGTCTTCTCTGATTTCATTGTCCATGCATTTTCGTACCGATTGCGCTTCATTCCTCTTCGTTCCTTATTGATCTTCTACCAAAATACATTATATGTCTGACCATTACAATATACTACTTATATGGATATAAGTAGACCACATCACAAGGCTAGACAAAACTAAATTTCAGAATTACTGGTTAGTTATAACTTTGTGTAATAATGATGCATTAGTATTCGGATTGCTAATTATACTGTTTTTATGCTTCATTTAGTAAAAGGTGCAAGGAAGATTTCAATAAACTTCTTACTTGTATACATAAAATGCTCCCAACTATTAGTCCTAATATCAGTTCTTAGTTTCTTTGTTTTTCTAATAAATTTAGTCAGATATGTTCTGTTAAACTAGAAATACATGTTATTGGGATAAATATTATATACGTGACCTAAAGATGGTTTCGATTACTAAAATAACATAAACTGAAAACTTAGTAAAAACTGAAGGAAATATTCATCAACAATTTTGTCAATGATTAAGACTCTTTCATGAAAGATCATATTCAATACTTTCAGGTCAAATCAAAGGAATTAATGAATTTAAAACAGTAAGTACCAACGTTCAGCTGTCGATACTTTCTCAGTTTCGGTTTTAATAGTTTATCATTCACTGTCCGTAAGAGACGAAATCTATTTACTGATTAAACTAGATCCAAAAAACTAACAAATCAAAGAGTTTTTTTATATACTACTGAATATCAGAATGATCTTTTGAAGTATTATGACTTTTTGGCTGGTTAAATAAAACACACTTTATACAAGCTGCTAGAAGTTTTTTAAAAGTAGAACTGACTGATTTGATCAAATACTCAATAAATACAAACAACTCGGAGTAATTAGGATGTTATGCTTATCAAAGTTGATAAATAATATATAAATATAATCTACACTTTATATTACCCTCATTTTATACCAGAGAATTATCAACAACAACAAAAAAAGAATCTCAACAGTGATATGTATATTTATATCCAAATATCTGACAACTTTTGTATGGTAGCTATTGATGTGAAATAAAATTACTTTGGTCATTTTAAAATCTAGAACGTTTTTACCACTCAGAATTATCAAAAACGTCTGAGTGATTACAGACTTAGAGGAAAATTATTATGACATAACATTATTTAATTGTTTCCCGGATGATTTTCCATCATATATAGTTCACATTCTATACAACTAAACAACTATTCATATTTCATTTCAATGTTGAATATTCAAACAAATCACTAGTTGAAATTGACAATTTAGACAAATGAAAAGATAAGCTAATAGATTACTTTCTAATATGACTTTAAATTAAAAAAACCAATGAATTATCATTGGAAACTGCATTTAATATTCTCTCTCTCTCTCTTTCTATATATATATATATCGTAATTGAAAGCGTGAGTCAATTGAAGCTAGACCACCTAGGAAAACCTGGAAGCACTATACGGCTGTTTCGTCTTATTGTGGGACTCCTCACTGAAGATAATTGGTGAATAGTTGCCCAACTTCGTGGATTGGTTGAAGTTAGTCATAAACAACATCGGATGCCGACCCGCTCAGTGGTCTATCAGTTTAGTGCTCTGGCGCGAGACTGGTGGGTCCTGAGTTCGAATCTCGCGAGGCGAGGTCGTGGATGCTCATTTCTGAGGAGTCCCATAATAGGACGAAACGGCCGTCCAGTGCTTCCAGGTTTTCACTGGTGGTCTAGTTTCAATTGACTCACGCTTTCGACTATGAAAATACTAAATCTCCACAAAAAACACCTTCTGATATTCATTTTAGTTTCACAACAAATCTATAGAATTCAATAGTGTAAATGTCCAATTAAATAGATCAATCTATAGGAAACAAAATAACCAAAACAAATATTATTATTACTTAGCATTTAAATAAAAACATGGTTAACTTTAAAATAAATTGACAGAATGTCAATTATATCCTTACATTATAAGTATAGGTTATTACCTAATTACAATACTTGGTTGTAGTTAAATGTTAACTAAAAAGAAAATAATAATAAAAAAGTACTATACACAAAGAGCAATTGCTTTTAGTGTTTAACAAAAAAAACAATTAAAATAAACATTTAACAAATATAAGATGTATATAAATCAAAGTTCAAGGTCACCACATAGTTACACATAGTTTCTCTAAAAGTTAAGTTATATAATAACAAAAAGGTATTTTCTTTCCTCATATAGGTAATACGAACAGTTTTTAGTCAATTATCTCTCTATATGACATATGGGAATGTAAATTATACTAAATACATTAGATTTTATGAATTCAATCTCATACATGTATAGTTATTCCTTATTTACCTATTGTGTAGCGATATCTGATTATGAAGAAAATACCTATAGAAAAATACTTACTTATATGTACTATTCATATAGTAAAATTTATGAATGTATATTATTGAAAGATTAGATCAAGTTGTTTATGTATACATTTATTCATAAGAAGAAAATATTTACGTGATTGTTTATTTACACTGATACTTGATTACCCTTCATCAAAAAGATTATTATGTAGATGTTTCAGAGGAAAAAATAGTTACTATGGTGATTAATTAGAGTTAAATTGAAATAAACACTGAGTTAGTTGTTTTTGATCGATATTATATTTTATATAGTTGAAATCATTTGTCAATTGAAGCTAGACCACCATAGAAAATCTGAAAGCACTGGACGGCTGTTTCGTCTAATTGTGGGACTCCCCAGCAGTGCGCATCCACGATCCTGCCTCGCGAGATTCGAACACAGGACCTATTAGTCTCGTGCGTGAGCGCTTAACCACAATAGGATGAAACGGTCGTCCAGTGCTTCCAGGTTCTCCATGGTGATCTGGCTTTAATTTACTCATGATTTCAACTATATAAAATTATTAAAATCTCCACACAACCCCCTTCTGATACAATATTTATTTATAAAAACTATTAGAAATCTTTTTTTTCTAAATTATATAATCGAATCTTATT